ATATATATATGTCAAAAATCAAATTGAATTAATTTAAATAATTTACAAAATAATATATTATAAATTAGATTAACATTACTTAACTTGAAACTTTTCAAAATTAAGATTCTTAAGATTGAACAGAAATTTTCACAAAAGTGATGAAATATAATGTGATAATTGAATCATTTGCTTCTCATTATTATTTTTTCACAAAGATCGATTATAGATTCTTTACTATCATTGCGATCGGATTGTTTACGCGGAAAAGAGGAATCGATTTCCTGCACGTGTTTTCTTTTCACTGGGCGAGTTCGATTCAGAGACAATGTGTGGGTCGGTGATGTGCATAATTGAACACCCTGAACTGGTTTAGGTACCGTCGTTTCGTCGTTTTGAGAGGCACGGTCTCCGTTACTGGGACCGAGGATAGTGATCGTCCCGCAGCATTCTCATGGGCTCCTCGTTGTGTCGTTGCGGCCGGTGTTGCATTAATTAAGCGCAGATGCCGATGCCTTGTCACCCGCCATTTGCCATTCGCATTTGCGTTTGTATTCGTCCGGTCGCAGCGGCAGAACCTAATATACGTCTGCGTGTAGAGGGTGTCTTGGAAATTGCGTCACATTTCTGCAAAAGATTTTTTACATATACACAATAAATATAAGATTAATCAAAATACGATTAATCATTGCAGCACGACTTTTGACATTAAATATCTTGGTATAATTAAATACATTAAAGTATATTAAAAATGTTAACTAAAAAATTTATTAAAGCTTTAATGTCAAAATGAATACTATATTTTTACAGTTTGCTTTCTAATATGCAGAAATTTGTATCTTCTCTGAGACATTTTATATTATTTTTATACGAACCAATCATCTCAAATATGAATAATTTGAATAATTTGAAATTGATATTTCCGTACTTGTTAAAAGCGAGATATTTACACTTCTTGAATTTATAAGTGGTTCAAAATTTTGATGAGTTAAACTTCAAAGTTATTAATACCTATAGCCTTCTTCGTGCAATTTTTGACGGAGTTTAACGGAACTTTAAATATCATGAAGTACCATTTAATTGCCGCTTAATGTTGGAAATAAAACAGGCGCGAAAAAAGGTGACGTCCAATTAAACTTTCGCTAAGGAGAAATCGACGCCAAATTGATTAAGAGTTTGTAACTAAAGAGAAAGCGTGGTAATTTGCGCAAAATTACTAAGTATATGTTTTATATACGTCACTTTTTTGAGGAAAATACTTGCAAGAAGATTACTTTATGAATTTTTAAATCTATATTTAGTTCACATTGTATTATCATGTACGAGACACGCAAAAATTTAATTCAACACAATATTTCTTTACAACTTCTCAATTCCCAACATTAAATGTCTCTCGGCAGCTAATTTTTTTTGCATAAAGCACGTTGATCACAAGAAATAAGATCCATCTAAATTCCGTTGTCCAGAAATTCCTGAAAATTGCGGAAACAACTATTTCCGGACACCCTGTACATTATCGCGATTCGATTTTCCACATTCGTCGTCGCTCGCCTAATTCGGCCGTCCGTTCCTGCGTGCGTGCGTGCAATCTTATGCATGCACACGTGCGAGCCTATGCGCGCGAGCGGTCTGATTCTTGTGCGTGTGTCTGCATACTGTACGTATACGTGTGTGTATGGCAAACCGATTGATATAGTCGGGGTTTCAAGCCCGCGTTGCGAAACTGGTTATGTACTTAACGTGGGATAACCGTCGGAGACAGGTGTCCCGAACTCCTCTCTCGATGCCGACCATCTCCCGATGGTCGGTCCGATCGTCGATGGCAGCCTGGGAAGAAGATGCGGAAGACCGTGCCGAGACAGCAGCACATACACACACACACACACACACACATACGTACCGTAATCGCCGTGCTTTCTTTGCCCTGCACGAGAGTCCACGTTCTTGAATGTCACGATCGTCGCCGATAAAGAGATCAATCAGTCTTTTCGTTGAGAAAATTATCCAGTGGGTGGGAATCAAGGTACATTGTGAATTGATGCTACATCGATAGTGATGATAGATCATACGAACTCCCACACTTGCGTTACAAGAGAAGGGAAATCAATTTTAATTAGCAGTTTAATAATAATAATAGATAACAATAATCATCTATTATTATCATCTATAATATTCAGCTGCGATAATTATAGGTAATAATGCTTCAATTATGACAGATGAGAGATATGATATTTAAATCGATAAACACCAGAGGCAATGTTTTGAATGCT